TTTGCTTGAATGAAGCATGTGGATTAAATTGTACATTTCCCCTACTTTTTATTTCTATTTTATTAAAACCAAAAACAGTGAGACTGCCCCAACCTATACATGCACACTCAAAATTATAAAATTCACTGGTTAAATAAAGGGTAACTCTACAGTTTAAAATTAATGCCCTGTTCACACGGAGAGTTTAATTTGAATTAAACATAAAGTTACTGTGAATTAGCTTCGCTTAGCGTTCACACGGAAAATTTAATGCAAATTAGTTTACCGTAATTCGAATTAGTTTACTGCACATTAAATTACTTCGCATTAGCTCCGTGTTAATGCTAAGCGAAGCTAATTCGAATTAAATTTTGACGCATGCGTAAAGCCAGAATTTAGTCACAGGACACGTGTTGGTGGTTAGATATAGGTATTTGTGCTATATTTGGTTCAAAAATTGAGGGAAAGTATGTTAATCACTAAAATCAATGAATACCTGTAGCCACTACATGATGAATCAAATGGATGGCTCTGCATACATGATGTGATTTACAAATGACGTCATAATAGACTTACTTATGCCTGACTGTAGAAGTAAAATTTTTATTCGCATTAGTTTACTTCGCATTAGCTGTCGTGTGAACGCAATTTGATTCGCATTAATTTGATTCGCATTAGTTTACTTCGCATTAATTTACTGCGAATTAAACTTGTCGTGTGAACAGGGCATAAGATGAAAAGTCATTTTTTTAGGCATAAGAAGGAGATCAGAGTCCTCAGAATGAGTAATTTGTGAATTGTATGGACTTGCATGTACATCTGTTCAATAAATTACAATAAAGACTGGGTGATAGAAATTGTACTTCACCTCTCAAACTCAAAAGTACACACTGTACATGTTTTTACCTATTAACATGTAATATGTCCTCTAGTTTACAAGTTTATAAGGCCCAAGAAGCTTCTACATTCCATCCCTTCTAGATATGTAAGATAGGTACATTTGATATAAGAGATAATCATATATGCCTGAATGAATACAGTAAAAAAGCTCAGATTTACTGCGATAATTTTTTCTAATGATGGTCAGGAAAATTTTGCAAAAATGCAAATTCCTGTACAGTTATTTATCAACAAAGATTACTTTTTGGTCTCCAAAGATATGTTTATTTTTAAATATGAAAATGTGAATAGTTACTAAGAATACAAAGAAATCCCATGGTGGAAATAAAATGTATTTCATCATTAGGAATAATATTTTATGTTGAAGTAAAAATTCAGGCACATTCAAAACTTGTGTAACAGGAAAGGAGAAAATGTGTGGTTGGACCAGGAATTGAACCCAGGAACCCTGCTTCACTAGTCAGGTGCTCTATCGAATGAGCTACCAAGGTTGATACCCATAGCACAACCATTACATATCCCTCCTTAAAATTATCTTCATCCTTGCAGACACAAACCAAATTATAGTCCCTGACAGGACTTTCACTTGCAAATCCAGAGGGGTCAATAACATCAAATCTGTAACAAGGAAGGAGAAAATGCTCGACTGGACCGTGAATTGAAGAAGGGACCCCTGCATCACTGGTCAGATGCTTTTAATTACTGACTGAGCTTACTAGGCCTACAACCATACCATTACACTTGCATAAACTTAAAATTATTTCATAATACATTGATTGATATTACATATCTGTCAACCATCATTAACTAAAATCAATTGAAACCAGAAGTCTCTGTCGAGACTGTAGCTCTACTGGTTTGTACTTATAACAAAGGATGAGAAAAGAAGCCATTGTCATTAGGGGTGAAACGATACGCCTCCATCACGGTTCGATGCGTATCGAAAAATTTGGTCTCGGTTCGGTTATTTTCGATACGATACATTTTGATAGAAGGAAACAGATTCAATGTTGTTTTATGCTACCTTTTACTTAATCTAGTAAAATAATTTATGTGCAAAATGGATAGAATGTATCAATTTAATTGATTTGACTGTTAAAAATTATTTCACAAACTTCAAGTCCAAACAAACTTACGTTTCTGAACTAATTATACAGAGAAGCATGTTTATACCTTATGCCAAACCCGAAGGAATGACGATCCCGACCGAAAAACGAACCGAACCGAAAGTAGAGATTTTGTACCGTGTATCGAACCGAAAAAAATACCGCGGTGAACCGATACCGCGGTGAAAAGTTTACTCCTAATTGTCATTAGACCGAAACTGTAGGAGGAGTAGCATTTTAAAAGTATTTCACAGAAATTTCTATTTTTAGTAACCTTGGCAACACCATTCACCGAAATCAAAAAGCGACGTGCAGAATCATGTATCTTAGTATAGTCTACTTGTGTGCCAAGTTATATTGAAATGAGACCAAAACTGTAGACAAAAGTAGAAATAGTAGCGTTTAAAAGGAATTTCATAGAAAATTCTATTTTTAGTAACCATGGCAACACCGTTCATCGAAATCAAAAAACAATGCACTATTTTATGTATCTTAGTGTAGTCTACTTGTGTGCCAAGTTATATTGAAATCAGATTAAAACTGTAGGAGGAGTAGCGTTTTAAAGGAATTTCACAGAAAATTCTATTTTTAGTAACCATGGCAACATCGTTCATTGAAATCAAAAACTGATTCATTATTTTATGCATCTTAGTGTAATCTACTTGTTTGCCAAGTTATATTGAAATCAGATCAAAACTTGAGGAAAAGTAGCATTTTAAAGGAATTTCTCAGAAAATTCTATTTTTAGTAACAACGGCAACACCGTTCATGGAATTCAAAAACTGATGCACTATTTTATGTATATTAGTGTAGTCTACGTGTTTGCCAAGTTATATTGAAATAAGACAAAAACTGTAGAAGGAGTAGCGTTTTAAAAGAATTTCACAGAAAATTCTATTTTTAGTATAAACCATGGACACACCTTTCATCGAAATAAAAAATCGATGCACTATTTTCTGTATCTTAGTGTACTTGTGTGCCAAGTTTATTGAAATCAGACCAAAACTGTAGGAGGAGTAGCGTTTTAAAGGAATTTCACAGAAAATTCTATTTTTAGTAACCATGGCAACACCGTTCATAGAAATAAAAAACCGATGCACTATTTTCTTATCTTTTGTAGTCTACTTGTGTGCCAAGTAATATTGAAATCAGATCCAAACTGTAGGAGGAGTAGCGTTTTTAAAGGAATTTCACAGAAAATTCTATTTTTAGTTACCACGGCAACATCGTTCATCGAAATGAAAATCCGATGCACTGTTAGTGTAGTCTACTTGTGTGCCAAGTTATACTGAAATCAGACCAAAACTGTAGAAGGAGTAGCATTTTAAAAATTGTTTATAGACAGACAGTAAAGACAGACGGAATTTTGGACGCCGGACGCATTACTATCGCATAAGCTCTTCTGGTCTCTGACCAGTAGAGCTACAAAAACTTGAAACTGATTTCACCAGTGACCACAATGAAGTAATTTTTGAAAACCATTATAAATGACTGTTAATGGTGCTTTTTTCTAAAATTTAAAATTCTATTTTTCCTGCCGGCAATTATTGTTTCTAGGAATAAAACTTCTAAAATAAATGCCACATTTCTTACAGAGTGAGAAGTATTGTGGGAAAAGTTTATGAATATGTTTACAATACAGATAACACGGAGAATCGCATATTCTTCAATAAAAGCACAATAAAAAAAAATTAAAGTGATATGAGAATTACTAAAAATTTAGGGCTGTTAATGGCCAGTCAAAAAATAAGACCTCAATAACTTGTGTAATTAATGTTATTTTATTTTTTAAAATTTATTTCACATATTGACTGCTTTAATTTGAAAATGAATACTAGTAACAGCAATTAGTTCATTGTTGTGCCAATTTGCTCTAGGATTTCCCGACCTCAAAAATTGCATTTTCTTTGATGATAATACTTTCTTATATAATTTGCCAATATTTCTTAAAATAATCTCTGGTTTTATATTTACAGGCTAATTGAATCTTCAATTTATACTCTTTTTAGTTAAAATCTGAAAAAAAATCCATTAACTTAAATCAGAATTCACTTAAACCTACATGAATATATCTCTTACTCAGATAAGTATACAATGACTTTTCACAACATAACGGTATATAAAACATTGACTTTATCATTGAGTTATTGTTAAAATTAATTTTTTTTTTTTACATAATATTAAATCTAAAATTGAATTTTAAAGCAATTGGTTTATTTTTTTCATCAAAGTGCAATATTTTCTTTGAAAATTATAGTTAAAAAGCTACAAAATCATTTTAAAATATATTTTCTTGAAAATTTGGTTTCCATGGCAACATAAAATATAAGATTAAAAAAAAAAATTTATCAATTAATAAAACACAACATTTGCTAAATATTTGCCAAATTTCAAGCAAATTGGTTGTCTGTCAACTTTAGATATTTGCATTTTAGTACACCACTGTGATAATTTTGTTGATATTACAAAACAACTCAGTCCTGAGGTTACAGCTTGCGTAAAACAAGTCAGCACACAAAGGGTTAATATAACACTCAGAAAAATCTTCAAAGACAATAGGGTGGAGCTTTTTTGACAGAATGCTATGGAGGGGGTCACGTGACCGCCAATATCATGTAATATAAAATATAATCAACACTGAAACCAAATATGGTTTCTTTTATGGAAGTTATTCAAATAGTTTGCGAACTTTTTGATCACCCCTCGTATATCATTGTGGAAGTAAAATATGACATTTTCTTAAAACAGGAAGTCTAAATATCTTCTACTTTTTCACTACTGTGAAATCACAAATTTTCTTCGGGGTTTAATTTTCATCATTTTCGAGGTATGAAGAGACCCACAAATTCATGTCCACAACGAAATGTAACTACTCAAAAATTCTTCATTCACGAATTCAAATCCCCACGAACCAAGTTTTTACTCAAACCACAAAAATTTGACCCCACAAAAATATCTGATTTTACAGTATATTGAAATGATTTCAAAAAATTTTTCCTGAATTTTTATTTTTACCTGTCTGATGAACACAGCAAAGGTTACACAGGTGATAGGTAGAAATATTGGTATACAGGTGTTCAAACTCTTTGTTGATGGCCTTGCAGTGAATATCCACGTACCATAGTTGAGATCTTGAACAGGGTAGATTACTCCTAAAATCATAAAATGATAAGTATGATGCTTGCACATAAACTTGAGATCAGAGAAAAGAATATGCCTCAATCATGTTGCCTTTACTTAAGAGAGAAAATTTGGGAATAATTTACATACACCTACCTCAAAATACCATTTGAATCCAAGTTGACACTTTACAGATGAAACACCATCATGAAAGTTGAAAAAGAAATTAAAAAGAAATATAATATCAAAAAGAAATTGTCAGTATACATGTAATATGCCCTACAATTTACAAAGATAATTTTGCTTGGCTTTTTCTTTGAATTAGACATCAAAAGCAATATTTAAATAATTTCAATTTGACATATGTTCTACTTACATACAAATCTACATCTCTTTTGACAGGTGTAGCCTTATATAGTTGGAATTGGAAGTGTGTTGATGGGGGTGGGGGCTGTACATGCAGTTAATTACTCATCCATCAATGTGGAGCTAAGGATCTGTTGCTGAAGAAATGGACAGTGACTGAAAACTGAAAACTTAATGTTAAATTGCAGCCTGTTGATCCCCAATATTTATTACTAGAGGTCATTTGAGGATTATTTCATAGATATTGGTTAGACAACCAAAGTGTAAATCTTAAAATGACCTTGACCTTTACATCAAATTTTTTATCCTCTACATTATAAGCAATGACAGTTCTAAAGGGGATATAGGAAAAAACAAAATAGTGTCTCGTCGAGTTATCACAGGTTTGAATCTCACCGTGGGACTGGGAAATAAGTTATTCTAATTTAGCAGTATAATCAGAGATTCTGCATCTCATTTCATTGTCGCAAACCACAGCCAAAATGTACTATCCTGTCCCATTCTGGGCGTGGTTATATCATTTTATGAGTAGAGAACATTTCGTACCTCATTAAAATTATTGACCAATGCAATAAAAGCATACTCAGAAAATGAACTTTGACATGACTTTTCAACACCCAATTGCAGTTTATGAATTTATGTGATCATTAGCATCAAATAACTTTTTCAAACTTTGCCGCTGCTGCCATGTGCATAATGTTTCACAATCACATCTTGTTTCAAGACTTTTTTTCTACAATTGTCGATCATATGCAAGAAGTTTGAATCACGAAATAATCTTTTTGCTCAAAGCAGGTGTGTTCAACATGTTTTAGTTAACCATCTTGATCATCATCGAATTTATAATTGAAAGTATAGATGTCTAACAGGGACGAAACATACCACTAGACATTCTTAAGTTATGTCACATACAAAGATAGAAACCTGCCCCCTGTACTTCTATTGTCATCTTGTATCTAGAGTCCCTGTCAATTTTAAGGGAATCAACCCTGTGTGACACTTGACTGCTTATTTATTGTTCAGAAACCTCATTTTTGAGACTCCTGAGAG